TATTAAAAAATATGAGAGTTTTAAAGGTGGGAACATTTGCTTATTTGACTAATAGATGTAGGTTCCATGATTTATGCTAAGAGAAAAATTTATAAAGTAGAATATTCGTGCATTGGCAAACTGGACACACTCGAATATATATATTAGATTTAATGTAATTTTCTCCTTGCATTATGTCATAAAACCACAACTATGGCCACTAGAGTAATATCTTAAATTTACTCTGATGCCAATAGGGAGTTAGAAACATAGCTAATAAGAAAAAAATATTTATTGTTAAATTAGACAAATCCCCAATAATATTATAGATTAATGAAATCTCTATTGGAAACCACACATCCAAATCATAGCATTTGAATAGTGATTTCCCCTTAGCGGTAGAAAAGAATTAGAAATGAAGCAGAACTAAATCCAGTACAGATAGTTTTTTTCAGTACAGATATTTTCAGCAGGTAAGATCATCTACTAATGGTTAAGTGCTAGTAAGGGATGTTTGGTATACTTCCCTTCTCTTTGCTTTAACTCTTCCAAAACTCTTAAGGTTTGATTTAGTTCCTGGAGTTCCTTTTTTCTTCCCATGACCTATCACTTTGCTGAAATCTTTCCTAATGCTTTTAGAAAGCGAAACACATGGTCTAACTTGAGGGTTTGTGCTTCAGTGGGGGAAGGTTAAATGTCATCTGGCCTGAGGCTCATGTTTGGATTAAAAAAACCCAACAAACAAAATCACCATAACACTGAAATTCACCATTTTGTGGTCTTTTCAGACCTACGTATTTTACAAAAAGCCAGACTGTCCAGGTCCTGGCACAGGATAGGAAGACTGCCCTCTTTTTTCCTTAAATAAGCTGCTTCTTCTCTGACATTCTGCTTTGTGTCATTGATCTGAAGCACCAGGTCTCTAATGTATAATTCACTGACTAACAGGGACCAAATAATTAGAAAAAAATCTCAATAGACCACTTATTATATCAACTCTGTTCACAAAGAATCAAGTAAGTACTCAACTATCCTCATAGGTATAAACAGGATTTGTGTAGCCTTTTCCTTTTTTCACCCACCATAAAAGTTGCTTCTCTAGTTTGAGGAAATAAGGACACCCCCAAAAAATCACAATCTCAGGTTGTAGCAGCTCAGTACTCATTAAAAATTGTTCACAACAAGCTTTATGTGTTTTATTCAAACAGTTAAAAAAAAATAAAAGCAGCTGAGAATTAAAAAGAAAACAAGGCAGCTGGGTCTCCTAATCTCTGTATTAAAATCTTACATATATTCCCATTTATACACATATGTTGAGCTGCAAGCTGTTCCTAGGGAAGGTGAAACCAGATACTATGAAAATAGAGATAGCGAGGAAAGGAAACAGAAAAATAGAGTGGAGATTCATTCATAGTCTAAAGCAATGGAGAAATATTAAGCATCACTGCAAGGCTTTAAAAACTAGACAGTACCACTAGACTGGAGGTCCCAACTGTCTACTCTTATCAGCCTAAAATTTCACCCAGCAAAGTCTCTAGTAGGTTAAGCATAAGGATGGTGACTTCTCTCAAAAGCCTTACTTAAAATGCATAAATTGCTTCAAATGGGTTTTCTACTTCTTTCTTATTAGTGTAATAGCAGAGATTAGTTTATTAGATTATTGAGTTAATCGGATATCTCAAGGCCTAAGGGAATAAAATTATAGGACAGATTAATTTCAGAGTATGACAGTGATGAATAGTGGGAAGTAAAAAGCAGAATAATGTGATGAAGTCTCAGGTTTGTGAGGGACTCAAAGGGTATGCTTTTATGTAGAATGCAAATCCAAATCTTACAAGTTTTGAATAAAATATTTTTGAGTGCTACTTTACTTAGTTTGGTAAACACACACACACACACACACACACACACACACACACACACACACAAATATCTATATCTTGTTAACAAGCCAAGAAAAGACATCTTTAATTCATCTCTCTGTGACTGTTGTATGTCTATGCATCATTAGGTAATTTCTCTGGGGCATCAATTCTTTGTCCTGATTCTGGAACAATAGAAAGTGTGATATTTAAAATGAAGGAACTGTCTCATTTGCAACACTGACTTCTGCCTCTGCTATTTCCTCTTTCCAGACCATCCTCAGATTACTGACTCTTCAGTTTAGCAGAAGTAGCTCTCTGGGTGGCCTATTTCTGATGAAAATCAACTACTTTTGGCTTCAGTGGAATATTCTTATTTGTGTCTAATGTCCTAATAAGGTCAACAAATTCAGGGTGAACAAGTGAGTGCTGAAAGTTCAGGAAAATGGACTAGGAGACAGATATATGCCCTTGCTTCTGAAAGTTCTTATACAGAATGTTAACAGTATGTTAGGCACTGGCCTATCTAGTGTAATTTTAGAGGCATCAAGTTGGTCTCCCCTGGTCTACTGAGATACATTAGATGCTACAGAGAGAAACTAGAAAGAAGGTAGAGAACTGAGGGGGAAATATGTACAGGAAGTAGAAGCAGAAGGTCACAAAGACAAACCCTGCTTGGAGAGAGCCCTACTAATCAGACTTGCCTGAAATGGAAAGCAATTACAGCCAGTTTCTTTGAAAGGCCACTTTGGGCTTTGCCAATAGCATTAAATTCTTAGTGAATTTCCATCTCATTGACCCAGGGGGCCTCAAACTCTGAGATCAATACTTTAGTAACAAAGCTGGTGCCAGACAGTGCTGGGTGGAAGACTGAATTCCAACTGAAATGAAATGTAAGGAAGCTTTTATGATAACTCTTGGTCCTACTATTTTATTCTCTGCCATTAAGTGATATATAATGATCCCTTAGCAGCCCTGAGTGTTATTCAATCACCAGGCAACAGACTACGGGTACACCTCGTTTTATTGTGTTTCATGTTATTGAGCTCCACTGATGCTGCATTTTTTTTTTTAAAACAAATTAAAGGAAAGACTCTTCACCCACAGAAAGGTTGACTTGCTTTATTGTGGTGTTCTGAAACAGAGCCTGCAATCTCTCTGAGGTGTGCCTATTCGCAGCATCTGAAGTTAGAAGTGTTTGCTCTTTTTATCTCAGTATATCAGCCTGTGGCCGAAATGCTCCTAGTTAATAAACAATGTTGAGAAGACTGTAAAATCATAATATGGTTACATAAATACCACATTTTCTCCTTTGTGAGCCCATGAAGGTTTCATTTGTTATAAGGATATTGCTAATTCTGTGGTAATCTGGCTACTGTGAACCTCAGCTTTCAATCCTCTGAAATGTTTCAGAATGAAAGAACATATCAAAGCTGGCAAAGTTTTTCTGGAAACTGATTTCAAAGTGTTTATAAGTTAAAGAGACCAATTCTAGATAGGTTTCTTTTTCTTAAATATGTGGTTGCTAACTCTTATGTGTTAAGCATCATTAGCAGTGCTTGTGGGCTTTATAATAAAATCCTTTTGGGAATGTCATACAATTTTTGTTTGTTTAAAACTTGTGCCCTAAAATGCTAATAGAAGACTGTTGCTAGCTATCCAATTAATCATAGGATTGCATTAAAGTGAACCTGATGGGTCCATTTATTGCAAAGAGAAGGAAGGAAAAAAGATATTTCCTAAATACCCTGTATGTATTATACTCTGTACTATTCTAGGCATTATACTTATTATATGACCTCACTTAATTCTCAACAACTTTAGGAATTATTATCCCTTTTATGTAAACAAGAAAACTATATCAGAAACATGTAACTTCCCAAAGGTTATAGTTCTTAGAAGAGGTAAGATTTCTAAGCAGGTAATCTGACTCAAAAGTTCATGTTCTTTCCACTACTTTGTTTCTTTAAGTTTCCCTTTAAGGGTAAATACCAGGAAATCTGTCTGGCTTGATATCGTCATCAGAGTCTGGAACTAATTTTCTAATGAATCAGCCTGAAGTGGGCTGAGCAGCATGCCCACAAGCAGTTGTCTCTAATAAGGCTGGGTGATGAACATGCTAAACCTCATAGTCAAATTTGGCCCATCTTTTTGAGCCAGAATAAACTCGGCATTTGCCACCTATGTTGTTGGTGTCTTTGTTTCCAGGAAATCAGTAGACCTGCTTTTGAAAACACCAACTTAATTAAGGGAATAATTCTTTGAAAAAGGTAATGTGGAGAAGTAGAAAGAACACACTTAGGAAGATAGAGATCTGGTTCTACCCAAGAGGATGGGAAACAGTTCCATATTTAGTCTGGTTTGTTGAGCTGAGGAAGATTTTTAAGTCAGAGTCAAGTCCATCAGGAAAGAGTACTGGGGTGAATCAGTGCGGTCTGCCATGGCTGAAGGCCAGGGGGGTGGTGGTACATATCGTGTATTTGCCATTCCTTTTTTAGTCTCTCCTCCTTTCTCCTCCCACCTATTAACTTATGTTGGACAAATGATTCAGAATTTTTAAGGCCTTTTATAGTAAAATGGGGAAAATGCCACCTTATTTATCTAAGGGTAAAGTGGCTAGACCAACTGATCTCTTCAGTTGGTCACCAGTCTTCTTCAGCTATGAGATTTAAGATTCAATTTTCCAGTGTAAATCTTAGTACTGGCTAGGCTTTAATGGGATTAGTCATTGGTGACTTTTAACAATGGTATGGCTTTCAAAAGGGCAATCACAGTTTTAAAGTGATTCTGCTCTAAGTCAAAGAGATAGATAATATATCAATTCTTCATATCTGAAGAACACTGAAGAAGTCTGTTAAATGGCTAAATTAATTATAGCCTGTGATCACCAATGTGAACCCAGAATATTATTTAGGAAAAATACAGGAATGTACAAGAGAGCATCCTATATATCTATGCAGATTTTAAATCTCAAGGAAATAACAATGTGAGAAAATAAATGATTTAATCTCACTACAACCTTGTCTTGAGAAGAAACAGAGATATTTCCTTTATGTGAAATGTTCAATGGAGAACACTTCTCATTGCTTTCAATACCCATGCTCCCTGCAGTAAAAACAAAATAGGCTCAGAGTTGCTTATTACAGATCTATGGCTTACCTGGGATCACAGAGAAATTTGGTTTTCTCTCCTTCTTCTCTCCAGATAAGCCATTCTCGAAAAGAAGGATGTACAAACATACGAGTCATGTCTCTGCGCTTGATTAGAAACATGGAGAGGTTCTCCATTCTCTGCTGAAAGTCCTCCCATTCTAGTGTGCCTTCAATGCTACCAGCATTGATGGCCTGGAAGATATGTTCATCAGTCAGTGGGTGGAGAGAGGCCACTGCAACATTCAGGAGAGGCATCACCCGGTCAAAGGAAGACTGGGTTGGGAACTTCATATTGCACTGGAGCAAATAAACCTCAGAGAGCGAAACAGGAACTACTTTGTAGCTAGAGCTCTTTAACACTAGATAGCCTTTCTCTATGAGGTCAAATGTGAGTTTCAGGTATAAATAGGACCCTTGACTAAGAGTCTTGAGATGAGAACTGAGTTTGCCAAATGTAGTATTGTCCATTTTGCCATTAAGTGAAATGTTATTCTGGATCTCTGAGCTGCTGTGTATCCGGTGCAGGATGTAAGCCTGCAGGTCCTGGTCTATGGCTTCATTCTCTTCTAGTCGATCCAAAAAAATCCTATGGAAAGGCAGCAGCTTGGTAATTTCCTAAAACAGATAGAGAGAGAGAGATAGACAGGAAGACCTTCAGTTTCCCCTAATTTTTATGATAAACTATGGGGTTAAAAATTTATTCTGAATTTCTGAATGGCTGAAGAAAAGAAAATATAACCAAGTATTAGTATGTATAGATTAAAACAAATTAGTTGCACAGGAGGAACATTCTTCCTAATATTGAGACTTAAGGTAATTTTATGGTTCCTCATAAAGGATGCTTTAGGAGTGATTTAATGGTCAATATTCTAAATAACACTTCTAAAATAAACAGAAAATGGAGTACCATATAACTTTTTCCCCCCTCAATGTAAACTATGGCATAATATCAAAGTAAAAAATGCACAAGGACTCAAAGAATGCCATCTAAAAATGTAGCTTTCTAACCTCCCAAATAAAATGATGCATTTTAATACAGACCTTTTGAAGATGCTTTAGCACAAAGGAATATTTCCAATAGTGGAAAGCATGGTGCCTTAGTGATTAGCTTGGACATTATATTGGGAAGAGGTGATAGGGCTTTGTGGTAACTCATGCTCTGGATTTCATCTTCTGTCATCTGCTTACAGACTTTGCTCCTGGAAGTGTCCACTCTCTTTCCTGCCATCCGTTTCTTCTCTGCTACTGGATCCTCCCCTCAGCTACAATCCTATATCTCAGTTTCCATTTTTTAGTAAAATTTCAGTTTTCTCTATATACTGCATCTAATTTTTCCTTTTCCATTCTCTCCTCCATTTGTTGCAATAAGGTTTCCACACCATCATCTGACTGAAATGGTTAAGGTTATCAATAACCATCACATATAACCATCACATTGCCAAATCCAATAATCAAGCTGCAGTTTTCATCTTCCTCAACTTCTTTGACACAGGAGGTCACACCATTCTCCCTGAGTCACTTCTGCAGCTTGCTACCTTATAGTATGTTCCCTTAACTTTCCTCTTAGCACACTGGCAACTCCTACCCAGGAATCTTTCATTTCTCAGTCCTCCCGGGCTCAGGTCTCTATTCTTTTTTCCAGCCACTCACTCCCTAGGACATTTAATTTGGTTCCATAGTTCTAAATTATCATCTCTATGCAGATAATGCCTTTGTATTTCTAGCTTAGTCATCTCCCGTGAGCTCTCCTATTTCTGTCTACTAAACATTTACACTTAGATGTTTCATACACAAACTTAATGTGACTAAATCAGAACTGCTGAATTTTCCCCCCTCCACAAAACCTTCCCATGTCAATAAATGGTATCATCACAAACCCTACAACCAAATTGTAGGAGGTATCTATGATCTTTCTCCTTTCCAGCATTCATTTATCCAGTTGCTCACCAAAGCCCATGATTCACACCCGAATCTTCTCTCTTGCTCACATCCACATTTAACCCATAAAATCCCTTTGATTCTTCAAAATTTCGTCCAAATATGGCTTTACAGGGTCTCCATCATCATCTTTAATCTAAACCACCATCATCTTTAACCTGTATTTCTGCTTCCATTCTTGATTCCCTACATTTTATTATCTACACAGCCAGAAGCCAAAGAAATCTTTAAAAAAAAGGTAAATCAGATCTGATCACTCTACAAGGCTCCTTAGAGAGGCCTTTCCTATCTAAATAACTATCACTCCCATTTATTCCTATTTTGTCTTTGTAGCACTAGTACTATAATTTTAACATATGTATATATACTTTTTTACTTGTTTATTGTTTGTGTTCCTCACAAGAACATATGCTTTATGAAGGCAGGGAAATTGTCTGTCTTGTTCATTGTTGTACTCTTAGCTCATAGAAAATGCCTCACATACTTGAAGAACTTAAGAAATAATAAATGATCAATACGAGGGCTTGTTGTTTAATACCTATAATTTCACTGTCAGAGCTGAATGAAAATAGTTTTTTAAAATTCTTGGTTGAAGTGAATGAAGTATCTGGGAAGTCTATAAAGACATTGAAATTTGGATTTTGTAGATTGATATGCATTATACTTTTCCTGTTGTTTGGCACAGCTGAAAATCATACTTAAAAAGTCTTTTGAAAATTACACATGGCATTATATAAAAATATAAATGAGGATAACATTTCCTAAGCATAGATTTAATAAAATTAATCAGAGATTGTGTTCCTAGAAGTTTCATCTATTCACCTTTCATCTTTAACAATCAAGTTACTGACTGATAATGATTAAAAAATATGGTTTTTATTTGTAAAGATGCATCCTTTAATTGAAATTACTCTGAGATTATGACAAACATCTACAAGATGGTAGCCAGGATTAGAAGTATACTTTTTGATCAAAGAAGGCAGTAAAGCTAATTGGTTAATATACAGGAATGGTACTAAGTGCCTAGGAGGGGGAAAAAGGAGGGAAGCAAGACTATTTTCTGTACATTAGCAATTGTTATGAGGGGGTTGTATCAAAATACAATAAATTCTCACTTAACTTCATCAACAGGTTCTATAGCTTTAAGTGAAACAACATATAACAAAACCAATTTTATCATGCCTAATTGATACAAATAAGAGTTAAGTTCATATGGCATCTCATCAGTGTTATAGTGAAACAACACTGAACAAAAACGTTTGTTATTCAAGGATCTGCGACAGGTGTATAATATATAAGATTTTAGTGTTCATCAAAATATTTTAATGTTTATAAAAAAGACAGCTTATTAGGGAGAAAATGTTGATAAATCCTGTTGCAAACCAAGTGTGAATAAGAATGGGAGATACCAACTCAGCTACAATGAGAATGGCAGAGAAGGTGGGGTCATTTATCCTTCAAGTCTTTACAGGCTCAATTCCATGTTCCTAGTCCTTCGCCCCGGCCATTAAGTGATCAGTGAATGAGCAGGGAAGGTAATTAAAAATAAACCTTATCTTGTAGTTGTAGTAAATTTAACCTCAAACCTTAATTAATATTGCCAATAGTTCTTAGACGAAGGCATATAGAAGTCCACTATCATGGCATAGAAATGTTCAAGTAGAAGCAGAGGGAAAAACTAGAAAATCTGATTTTAGATTCTAGATTGTACAACTTTAGCATGGCATTAAACAATAAAAAAATATAAAACATTCTTATGTGCTATACAAATAGTTGAAGGTTAATTGGCAGTATAACTAAGTAGTAATGCTGCCAGTCTCCTTCAGACAAACAGTAAAAAAAAAATTAAAAAAATGATAAGCAGTAAATTAGTGTGTTAGGAATTCTATTTGCATTGCTGTTTGTCCTCAGTACAATGTCTAGAAAAATGGACACTTTCTTTTCATGCTATTTTGAAGGACACTATCAAAACTTACCCAGGGCAATAGGAATGAGAATCTGAGCTAAGAGAATCATATATAGAGAATGTGCTCTCTAAATCTTATGTCTTACTCTCAAAATAGGCCCTTAGAGACATGGTAGAGGTTTAGTAAAACTCATTACTAAAGGAACAAGGACCTAGGATTTTTTCAGTTTAAGTACTCTCTAAGGGAAATAATTTATGTTCCAAAGCATACACATACCTGTAAACTGGTCCTAACTGTTACAATTAGTTTGAGCCAGGAAGGAAATTTTCCAATCATTTTACTCAGAAATGATACAATTGTGTCCCCATAATCCGGTTTGTGAAATTCTGCTTCATTTAATCCATCAATTAAGATGATGAAATCTTCATCTGGAATTTTTCTCTCTGAGGTAGAAAGAAACAAATTACTTAATAATTACCAAGTGGATAAGTGAGTTCTTTATGGGTCTTTGATTAGATATCTTGTTGGGCCAAAAAATACTAATAAAAGGTCTTTCATTTGTTTACTAAGTGCTCAGAGTACATAATTTGTTATAAAGAGAATAATTTGTGTAGTGAATTCATTTTGTTTTTATCAGGTGTAAAAGCTTTTGTCACATATATATTAAATATATGTATTATCATTACCGGTATTTCCCCCATGTTATCAAATGTGAGATAGTCTGAGCATTACATTATGACAATCTGCACATGGTAATTCATGTTCCTTTGGGAATTAAAAAAAAGGAGGTTTAATTTGAAGTCCAAATCAGTATAAAGGACTACATGTGAATGTGTAGTGAGAAGGAAGGGATGGGGGAACAGAGAAAAGGAATCCCAACCAATAGACTGATTTTAACTAGGCAGGCTGGATCACAGATTCTTATAGAACTAACAGCCTCCTAGACTATCCCTAAAATAGCTCCTATGGGATTAGATTCTTCTGCGATCTTCCCAAGAGATGAGAAGTCACATGAAGTCTGCCATACTTAGGTTCAGTTCCCTCCTGAACTCTATTCTATCTTAAATTGACAAAATCAGTTTATCCTTAGGGCTTGGCTGAAGAAGAAGGCTTGGTACAATTTCTTATTTCAAATGCTTACTGTTTTACTACATTGAACAAATAAAAATCCCCAGGTTGAATCAACATTTTAGTACAAATGAGTTTAGTAACAAGTAAAGGTTACTAGTTACAGTAATAGGACCTTACAGATTCTGAGGGAAGAAGGCAGGGGAAGAAAGAAGAAGTCACTGGATGCCTGAAATAGGAAACAGGTTCTATCAAGGAGGAAAAAGATGGAGCTGGGGGTAAAGGGAAAGCTCTATGGATTTGTATATAAGATTGTCTATGTTAGCCTTTAAAAGAGTCAAGACCAAATGACAGTGTACATATTTTGGTTTTACATTTGAAAAGATGTACATTTTTCTGCATGGTTAATAAAACTTTATATTTCCCCCCTAAAGTACAAGCTTTATATAAAGGAATTTAATTTCAATATCCTAAGTACTAGAAGTCAGTTTTCAAATTATGAAAAGGTTTTACTATTACTTCCATCTGGTGACATTTTAGGAAGAGAAATGAACTAGGATTCTAGCTCTTACTATTAACAATGAACATTAATGAAAAAGCATTCTATATGATGTAGTCTGAGAAAGCACATTATTCCTTTGGGGAGTCCAAAGCATTAAGGAAGAGAGTAGTTGCTTGGCACTAATTGGGATTTACCTGCACCACTGGGGGCTCTTATGTTCTTGGCTTTGAGGTCGTTGGCTCTCTTAAGTGTAATTGTGCCTTTAATTTCCATAGAGGGATTTTCTAGTTGCATTCTGCTGGGCAGATATAATAGACCTATCCCTTGTTACTGAACACCATCACCTGACCCCACCCAATGGAGAACTGGAGCCATCCTGACTGGTTCTGTAATATGCTGCAGGTAAACTGTAATATTTTCAAGAGCTGGCATCCTAAAACAGGCAAGGTGGGAATATTTATTTACACAATGGAAACTGGCAATTGTTACAAGCCCTCCTTGTGCAGGTTGTTAAAAATTTACCAGCAACACCACTGTCTCCACTGCTTCAATTACACTTCCTTTAACTTCACCAGGCTCCTTCATAAGAAAGCCATGATTTTTAAGTGGAAAAAAAGGTCTGATGATAATATACTCAAAATTTTCTTTGGGAAAAACATTTCAAACACATTCTCAAGCATAAAATCAAGAACTTCCTTTAAATTATGATAGATGTTTTAATGAACAAAACAATTGAATGTCTAATAAAATTAAATTTTTATTTGCATAAATCACTAGTAGATATCATTCACTCCATGAGGAAAGTAAATAATATATCATTTCTTAAAAAAAGAATAATTATATTATTCTAAAGTTTGACTTTTTTTGAGATCCTTTTCTTTTGAAGGAGTTATTTAGAAGTCACCTATTAAGTCAGTTGCTATTAGGTGTCAAAATATTTCCCCTGTTAAGAAATAAGAATGACATGTTTATCTAAAAATATATATATTTAAGATTCAGATAAAGCAAAGAATTTCCAAATGATACTAATATTGCAAAACATTGAGAACTTATTCCTAAATATCCTTTTTCTTTGCTAAATGATGAAGTTTTCAATTATCAACTTAAAAGGTAAGACTGAGGATCTTTAGAATGTGTCTTTCAAATGCAACCAGCTTTGTAAGAATGTTCCTACATGTTCATTTTCAAAGCTTTGTAGGTTATTAAAAACATACTCTAACTCAGTAACTTTTAAAAGATTTTACAAATGAAAATTTTAAAAATTGCGACCTATATATTTAAATGTAAGAACATTTAAAGTACAACTACTATCCACTATCACCATTATTTCACAGAATAAAACAATATTTTAACATTATAAAAGTAGGAGAGACATAATCTACCTAAACTTTACATATATGCACATGCAAACCTATATCTATATTTATAGGTGTTTCTTTTCTTTTTAAAAAATGTATTTTTATTTATTTTAGAGAGAATGGGAGAGGGAGAGAGATAAAAATATCAATGATAACCCCTGTTTGGCTCAGTGGATAGAGCGTCAGCCTGTGGACTGAAGGGTCCCAGGTTCGATTTTGGTCAAGGACACATGCCCAGATTGCAGGCTCATCTCCAGTGGGGAACATGCAGGAGGCAGCCAATCAGTGATACTCTCTCATCATTGATGTTTTTCTCTCTCTCTTTCTCTTTCTCTCTCTCTCTCTTTCTCTCTCTCTCTCTCTTCCTTCTTCTCTGAAATCAATACAAATATTTAAAAAAATATCAATGAGAAGAGAGAATCATTGGTTAGCTGCCTCCTGCATATTCCCTAATGGGGGTTTAGCCCCAACCCGGCATGTGCCCTGACTGGGAATTGAACTGGGACATCCTGCTTTTAGGTTGACGTTCAACCACTGAGCCACCTCCAGCCAGACTTTTTTTTTTTTTCTTTTTAAATGGAATCTATGGGGGTGACATTAGTCCACAAAACCATACAGGTTTCAAGTAGGCTGTTTCTAATTTCTTATTTTGCCATGGACTAATGAAAACCTCAAATGAACTGGTTCTTAGGAATCACTGTTCTAGCCTGACAAGTCTTTGGAAAGATTTTCTAAAGCTGTTAATCCTTGTTTTTAATCCTTTGTAAATAATATATATTCACCAGGGATTCCTCTCTGCCCTCACATGTATACTTAACAAAAACTTTCTTCCTTATTAGTCTCATTGTAAGACTCTACTTAGGTACCTGAGAGAAATAAGAATTATAGAAACAGCATGAGATGAGATGGTAGCAAGTACCAAAGTCAGAACTGAATCCCAGTGAATGATATTTCTTTACTGGTATACTGTACAAAAATTAATAAAAAATGAAAAGGCAGCTCATATTAGACAACATTTTTGTTTCAGACAATCTGCATATTACATGTGAATTACCTTCCTTTTGGTTGTCATAACATATTAGTATGGCCTTTCACTTCATACTGATGGCTGAGAAACTTCAATGTACAAAAATAATTAAATATTTGTGGAGAAATTTAAAGATTTAAATAAGCCTAGGGTATGGTAAGGCTAATAAGTATAGAGATATTCACAGAGATCATCAGAGTGGAAAAGAGAAATTTTGATAGTTCAATAAACAGCACAAAGACTGAAATAACTGAAGATGATAGCCAGAAGAATGGAAATTATAATCACTTGGTTCTTTCCTATGAGCAGCTCCATAACCCTCAAGAAAGGTAAATAATTCTCTCAGGAATAAACAGGATTGCTCAGAAATCTCATGCTTTCTCAAATCTTTATCTTTGGCTTCCAGAATTGATACAACATTGTTAAGGGGATAGGGTGAGGTGGGTAAGGAGACGTTGCACTTAGGCCATAGTCAACACTAGAGATGCTGAGGAAGAGGAGGAAAGGCAGAGGCATGAGAGGGAGGATTCCATTTCACCCCTTCCCACAATTAAAAAAAATCTTTATATCTTTTAGTGGTCAATTAAGCTATTTTTAGTATATATAGTGAGTTGTGTGACCATGGATGCCATTTCCATTTATCTGAACTGTAGAGAAATAAAAAGCATCAAGCATAAAGATTGGTTTCTAATAATGGAAACTCCACAACACCAAGTTGGAGCCGTGATTTTACTAATTTATTTGAACTCACAGAAAGAACTGGAAGTCCTATTATCTTTACCACAAGAAAGATGCATTATATTTGGAAATGATAATGAGAATATTTATAAAGAAGGAAGTGGCACTTCCTATAGGAATTTTTATTTTTCAAGTAAAATCTTTTATCTGTATTCTGTGGGATATCAAGCTATGGAAGATTTATTTTTGGCAATGTGATAAAAAAATCATTTCTGTAATATGCTGCAGGTAAATTCGGGCTCCAAAGCCACCACCTTTCATCTTCTTTGCATCTCATCTGTACCTTTGTGGAGATTCTCTAGAGGCTCCAGGACACCCCTCCGGAAAGAGGCCATGGGGTCTTGAACACAGGACCGAAGGCTCAGCATGCTCTGTAGGTGAGGCTCCCGAAGAAGCTGCTCCCTATAGGCCGCCAGCTGAGGGGAGCGGCAGAGCAGGGCAGCAACATTGTGGACAAATTCTGGCACCAGGCAGGTGTAGGCATTATCTGCTTGGCAATAATGATAGGCAACTACCTACAAAAGAAAGAAGAGAATGCAGACACATTTATCAGTAGCAAGAGCAACAGCCACAATTATTATCTTCTCTAACATGTTTTTTTTGTTTCTCTATCCCTCAATTTTTTCAAGTAAAATTAAAGCTGCTAACTCAGCCTGGCCAGCATAGCTCAGTGGTTGAGCATCGACCTATGAACATGGTCAATCCCCAGTGTGGGGCATGCAGGAGGCAGCTGATCAATGATTCTCTCTCATCATTGATGTTTTTATCTTTATCTCCCTCTACCTCCTTCTCTGAAATCAATAAAAATATATTAAAAAAGAAAAAGCAGCCCTAACCGGTTTGGCTCAGTGGATAGAGCATTGGCCTGTGGACTGAGGGGTTCCAGGTTCGATTCTGGCACCTTGGTTGTGGGCACAACCCCCATGGCAGCTGATCAGTTTATTTCTCATTGAATATTTACATTAATCTAATATTTATTCAGTATAGAGTCTGATTTTATAACAAAGTATTAGGAATAAGATACTCAGAGAAAAACCATATGTCAGGCTCACCAAACACACTTGTTTATGCCATCACATTATAAATTATAGTTATGCTATAAAAAGCCTTATAAAAATAAAATAATTCCATTTTAAGAATTATCATTACATATTTTATGAACACCTGTAGACAAGAAAATCAAAATTAGATAACAGGCCTGGCCGGTGCTGAGTGGATGAATGTCGGCCCAGAACCAGGAGCTCATTGTTTGATTCTAGGTCGAGGCACATGCCCAGGTTGTAGGCTCAATCCCCAGTAAAGGGTGTGCAGGAGGCAGCCAATTGATGGTTCTTTCTCATGGATGTTTCCAACTCTATATCCTTCTCCCTTCCTCTCTAAATATATCTATATATGAAAAAGAAAAAAAATTAGGTAACAGGAAGAAGTAAAGGAGTGAGATTTTTTTGTTAGATACAGGTCTTAAATTCAAAGAACTTAGAAAATGTACGAGTCTTTATGGAGGGACCTGGAGAGTATTATGCTAAGTGAAATAAGCCAGTCAGAGAAAGACAAGTATTGCATGATCTCACTCATATGTGGAATCTAAGGAACAAAACAGATTCAGAGACAAAAAAGTATGGAACAGACTGTCAAGTCTCAGAGGGAAGGCGGGGGAGGGGGAAGGAGGAAGAAAAGAGGAAAAAAAGAGATCATCCAGAGAACTTGCATGCATCTCTATTTATATAAGCTCAGTGACTGAACAGTGGAATGACCAGAACGACCAGTTGCTATGGCGTGCACTGACCACCAGGGTTCAGACGCTCAACCCAGGAGCTGCCCCCTAGTGGTCAGTGTGCTTCCACAGTGAGAGCACCGCTCAGCTGACCAGGATGAGCGGTGCTGCTATAGCAGGCTGATCCCTGCAGGCCATGCCCCCCACCAGTGCACAATTCCATGCACCAGGCCTCTAGTATAAGCATAACCCATGGACACAGACAATAGGGTGGTGAAGGCCTGGGGAGGGGTGGGCTAGAAAGGGTCAATGGAGGAAAAAAGGGAACATATGTAATACTTCCAACAGTAAAGATTAAAAAAAATAAAATAAAATGTATGAGTCTTAATGTCACCCAGGGTGTGGGTTGGCTGGCTGGAACTTGGGAGTTTTAAGTTCAGAATTTCTATTTGAATTTGCAGAACTTACTCTTTGCTTCAAGGACAAGTGCAGAGGGTGGTTTTAATACCCTGTTTCCCTGAAAATAAGACAGTGTCTTATATTAATTTTTGCTCCCAAAGATGCGCTAGATCTTATTTTCAGGGGATGTCCTATTTTTCCATGCGATGGGTCTTATTTTCGGGGAAACACGGTAGACCATTCTGTTGGTTCTGTAGTACACACAAAGTGATAAGATTGTGTAGATAACATGAAACTGGCAGGAGAGATTCAGCTTGAATATATGGAAGCAACCTGGCATGCATAGTTGTCTCCATCATCACTGCCTTCCTCCTTTTCTTCCTCTCCATCATCATTATGGTCATCATTAAGGCTCTATATAGTTTCTTTTTCAGCACTGGTTTGTACCTACAGGCATTTGAAATTTGCCCCAAGAGCACTCATAAATATACTATTGGGTTTCCAGAATTACCCAATAAAGTGTTCTACTTTGAACGGATTCTTAATCTGTAGGTATGGTCATCCCAATTCCTTAACAAATGCTGGAAATATCACTTTAATACCTGAAATCCCTCTCATTTAACATACAAAGATTGAATAATACAGAGAATGTTACTATATGTATAAAGCTGAAGACAGGAATTGCTTGTGAATGAAGCAATGATATGGAATTGAAAATGAGAAATTGTACTAAAAAAACAACTCTTTTCGTCAGACTGCTCATTGCTGAAGTAAGGAACCCAAAGAAAAAACTAGGCAGTAATTAATTTGTCCCCTCAATGAACAGTGAATGTTAGTGACTATATCCACATGGATACAAATCTCCACTTTATAAAAAGCAAACATCAAACTTCTGAATCAATATGAATTTCCACCATATTTTATTTCAATTGATTTCACAGCTCAAAAAGCAAAACACAGCCGAGCAAATCAGCTGTTAACTTACCCTTTACTTAAAGTAATGAGATAAGTTTGAAGTTAAAAATTCTGAAATTTAGAAAGAGGGTTTTTTTTCTGTTTTCATTAAAAACCATCTGTACTCTTGGCTGAATGAGCTTTTATCTAACAAAGGTTAAATAACATGGCTAATGGTGCTCCTTCTACAGGTACTTCTCTTTTAATTTAAAAAATTTCTTTGATATTTCAAATATAAAATCTTGATTCCTTTGCAGAATTCAGGAAGATCACTCAACATCTTCATAAAATCTGCACTGTGGTCCAAAATAGGTTTATTAGACATTTCAAAATAGATATGTAGTATGTATATGTACATACAATCTGTCAAAAAACATTTGATACTTCCTGCAAATTATCTATTGACATTATCTACAACTTTCCTTACATATACAAATAGGAAACAAATCTGGGAATATAGTTTTTCCTTCAGTCTGCCATTGTATCAGTGTTCAGTGATGGATGTTGATCACTCCCTACAGCTTTGAGGAAGTCATCAGGGCCACCCATACTCAGTCACTATTATTCCAACTTCCTGGAAAGGGTTCAGAATGAATCCACACTCAATAAATCAGGCAGGTGAAACCTTTCTCCTTTGGTGAATTCTTGTTTCTTACAATTACTTGTTGAAATTTCATTTTCAGTTATGCCTTTTGTATATTATCAATTTTTCCTTCTAAAGTTTTTATGTTAAATCCCTAAACTTGTAGAGTTAGTATACAGTATTATATTAATTATTAAAACAATTCTATCCAAAATATATAGGATCTGACCAAATTATATTAACTTTTTAAAGACAGTAAGTGAATTTTAAATTACTTCTGTGAGGGAAGAAAGTAAAGGGGAGGTTTGTAGATCATATAAACAAGAAAAAAGACTGGAAGTCAGTATAGCCTTGGGTATAAAAAGCTTTTGACTTAATACTGTACATAAGAAATGATAAAACTAAGCAGAATCCTCATTAAAGGCCCTAATAAAATGACTGAGTGGCAGCAAATTTTTCAGGCTTGTTTAAAAGTCAAAGGCTTTCACTACCCAAAGATCATTTTCTACTTCAAATGAATAATCTTTGATAAAATTAAGCTAATCTCAAATAAAGAAAAGGCACCTTTGAATCTCTGAAATTTGGTCATAAAAATTTAATTTACACAATGACTGGCATTTGTATCGGTCAAATTCTGAAGTTGATCATGTAACTTCTTTTTGAGTTTCAATTTCCTTACCTACCCATTTCCTTTTCCAACTCTAAAGTTCTGATTCTGTGATAATAAAGTATTTTTCTAGGAACAGCAAAGAAAAATACACTCTTCTCCATGTTGTCATGGTATACCTGTATATATTTCTGTTCACTTTGCCTAGGGTTTCCTACCCTTGCCCCCTTGATGTTAAAAGGGAACTAGCATGCCCACAAACTGGGAATCCTACTGTACCTGTGAGGCTAGTCTCCGCATAGCCTCCTCCTGCCGCCGGCGCATTTCTGGAGTTCCTGGGCAGCTCCCACTGGTGATGGAAGAGTGGGCTGAAGGTGGTTGTGTGAGTGGCAGCTCTCTGTTGGCATCCACATCTGGATTAAAAAGATGAGACATTTGCATCACTCATAAAACTCTGAACTAAAGAATGGTTAAATTTCATTTGTTGTATTATATGATCCAGCAATTCTATTCCTAGGTATGTACCCAAGAGAAATAAAAACAGAGGTCCATGCAAAAACTTATACACAAATACTCATAACAGTAAAATGAAAACAACCTAAATGTCCACCAACTGACGAATGGTTAAAATGTGGTATAACCGTACAATGGACTATTACTTGACAATAAAAACAAATGAGATACTGATGTATGCTACAATATGGATAACCTTTTGAAAATATTACATTCAGAGAAGAAGCCAGTTACAAAAGATTATATATTGTATAATTCTATTTAATGAAATGCCTAGAAAACAGAATCTATAGGGACAAAGAGTAAATTAGTGGTTACCAGGAGGTGAAGGTAGGGAGTTAAGGGGAGATTAGAGATTGACTACTAAAGGACATAGGATTTCTTTCGGGCGGGGGTGGGAGGATGAAAATGTTCTAATATTAGATTTGATGACTGTTGTGCAACTCTGTGACTATGACAAAAAACACTGAATTGAACAATTTAAATGAGTGAATTGTATGATATGTGAATTATAACAATATAGCTGTTTTTTTAAACAATTCAATTTGTCCATGTAATTTAGAAAATGTCTTACCTACACTAAAAAGTACAAAATATATTTATGAATGCAGATCATGCTTTTATTAAAAATGGGTACCAAAGTAATTGATAATAAAAACAAATGAGATACTGATCTATGCTATAATATGGATAACCCTTGAAAATATCACACTTACACAGAGAAGCTAGTTACAAAAGACCATATGTTGTATAATTCTATTTATATGAAATGCCCAGAATGAGTAGGTGTTAATTGACAGTCAAAAGGTAAAGGAGGAGGAATTAGGGAAGACAGTCCTCATTCAAACTAACCGAGCTATTTTCCCTTCAACTGGTAGAGTAAATTTTCTGGTCACTGGACAGAGTTCTGAGCAATTGGAGGAGGGTAGCTGTGGAAGATGACAGTGAAAAAAATGCTTGAAGAAAAGTGTCAGCTGAGGTAAAGTTCAGTGACTGTCACTGTATCATTTCTGTTGTTTATTCCCTCTCCTCACCACTCTCATTTTCCTGGTATTTGATTTTGTGGGTAGTTACTGTTTGAATACCTTCTGTCTTCTAGTTATTTCCTTTTAAAGATACCTCATTTTTTGTCTGCATGTCTTTCTTTTCTGCTGGCATTCAGAGAACAGTAGAAATAAAAGTTAATAAGAAGCCAGTGTGCACAACGAACTGGCAAAACAGACTTCTGAAATCAGCAGAGTAGGGAGGGTAGTGGTTACTTACTGAACAGCTGTTTGGGGGACTTGGCAGCTGTTGGCAAATGTCAAATCCAAATAATAACTAACACTGTGACTTTCAATGATAGGAAAATATAGGCTTGTATTAGAGCTTCCCTAACTACTGTACTGAGGATACTTGTAGTTAATACAATAATGCCTGAATTACACAACAGGTCTATTTTCACAAAATGTTTTGCTCTTTGTGTGTGTGTGTGTGTGTGTGTGTGTTGGAGGGGTGGGGTTGATGATTGGGGGGAAGGTTAATGGGGGAGTCAAGTTTGGGAAGGGGTGTAGGTGGAAAGCAGGATGACAGGCTAGTGCCTGCCTTGACAGCTTTTCTGTACCTTCCCAGGGAAATGACAGGGAGGGGGCGGGCTGGGGGCTGAGTGTCTGTGGGGGAAGGCTGAGCCAGGCTATGCAGTACTGCAGACTAAACTGCTCAGGTCTTCTACAGTGCTGCTCAGTGCAGAGGAGGCAGGGCCAGAAAAAGAATGACAGATGATGCAGAGATGGGAGGTGGGATGTAGGGGCTCCAATATTTTCTTGTTCTCATTATTACAACTACATCACTGGTATCACTTACTGAGGGTTTGGGATTTCAAACAAACTTATCTAAACTTAATGTAAATTAAACTCTGTAAAAAACTAAGCCAACTCTCTATATAAACATCATTCTTATTCTGCTACTGCCAGCAAGATTTCAGTGCCAAGCTCATACAGTAACAGATTAATTCTGAAAAGACAAACAAGACAAGTGTGCATTTTATCAGTCACCTATTCTTGACTCTTCTTAAGGACTAGTGGTTCGGTTAAGATGGTAGAGGCAAAATGTAGCTTGGACATCAAATATAACAAAAATTATTTTTTCAAGGTTATTGCTTGTTCTAGATAATTCTGATAAATACAAAAACCACATATTTTATCCTCCTTGACACCTTTCCAAGGTTTAAAAGTTAACTATCAGGCCAAAGCTATAGTTTCAACATATGGACATTTATCTCATGAATGGAGAGTCATTATTTTTAGAGTTTCTCTGGAGATAAAGGCAATAGATGTTGAGAATAACTTAATGAACCACCTTGAAAGAATCTCTACTTTTGGGAGCACAGTGGCTCATGGGGGGTACGAAGACTCCCAGGTACCTTTGCTTTCTGAGAAAGCAGCTCTTCTTGCCTTTAGCATTTATTCTGTCATGCATGATTCTACCATTCTGTTATCTGAAACAGTAATAGAGGAGTCTATTAGCTATCTGCTTTTCTGCCTGACACCCTCAAATAGTTAACTTTTTGGCTTACTCAGATAAGGGATAGGTTGGTGTGATACTTTCGCACACAAAAGAAAATACTGGGATAGATATGAAAAATTACTTTTAACCATGAATATATTGTTAGAATAAGAGAATTTTAGGAAAGGAACAAATCTTAAAGATCTAGTCCCACTTTCTTATTTACAAATGAGAAAACTGAGGTTTAATGAATTAGAGTAAAATTATCAAGGTTACAAAGTATAGACAATTTGAATGTTGGGGATCTAACTCTGGGCTCTTGATTCCCACACGACCTATGCCAATAAACCTCAGAAAGTTTCATGTAGAAATTAAGCATGACATTATTCTTAAGAAAATATTCTTTCATACAAATTCTTATCATACCCTGATAGACAGACTCTTGATTCAAACAGTTTTCTTTCTGGTCACTAGCTGTTCTTCTACATGTTAGATATCCATAAGTTTATCTATGTCAATCTGCCTTCTTAATGACATAAGAGTGCTAATTAATTTCAACAGGAAGCCAAGATGTTTGGAGGGCGTTCAGTGAATTCCAGTTGAATTTCAGCACTGTGCTAGACTGTAAGGACTATAATCTTAGACAAGCCATTTCTAATGACTGCTGTTCTGAAAATTTGTGGTGAACTAGACGGAGCTACACTAGTAGACCAATAGTTTCTTTCCATTTTTTCTCTCTCTTATAACTAACAGAAACTAGGTAAACTATACGTACAATGTGTATAGGAAGAACATTTTCTTTTATCTCCTTTACCGAAGTGAGTGAATTCTACCAAAATGGAGAGCAAAATGGGTAAGAGAATGGCCTCTGAAACAAGACTGCAAAGTATTAAATTCCAATTTCACATTTTACTGGCTAGGAAACCTGGGAGGTTTGCTAAACTTATCTGAGCCTCAAATCATTTATCTATGAAATGAAGACAACAGGTCCAACCTCACTGAGTTGACAGGATTGTATGAATTAAGACTTACTAAGCTGTCAGACAGTACCTGGCATTAAGGGCCATATGAGTATTCTAAAAATAAGTAAACAAGATCCTGGAGGTGATCATCCCAAGCTGTGCTCTGCCTGGGATGAAAGAAGTATGGCTATATATATGAGATCTTAGCATCTCATAAGGAAGCAGGAGAAACCCTTCAAGGGCACAATGACGTTCAAGCCCAGGCAGTGCAATACTGACATCACTGGCAAGGAAATGAAGGCATGAACAGATTGTGCTGGCATGTAACAAGGAGACCTGGGCACAGGCTGAGCAAACCTGACAATGATGAATGCAAACGGCTCTTACTGGTAATTGCTGTAGTTATTCTCCAAAGGACAGACTAGCCAGATAGCCAGTAGGGAAGAGTCATACATTTTTCTGAAAGTTTTTTCCCCCTAGGCACACTGAGGTGACTGTTGGATATGTGGGTTAAATGTAAGCAGAGTATTATATTCTTTCCCTCAACTCTGGTCCTTACATACAAGTCAGTATTTGCAGATATATAATAACAAAAGCATAATATGCTAATTAGACTGGATGTCCTTCTGGACGAAGCCAGGGCTGTGAGGGAAGCCCAGGTCCCAGTGCCAGAGGAAGGAAGGCCTACTTGTGCACAAAATTTCGTCCATTGGGCCTCTAGTCAGAAAATAAAAGGACATGAGACAATATAAATATGCTAGAAAAAAATTTCAGAGCAATGAAGCAGGGAGTTCTTTAAAAAGGAATACTTACGTTTGGGGGAGGCATGTGGACTGTCTGAGGCGATCTGTCTCATCCGTGTTCCATGGCAGCTGAGTGCCACAAGTCTGGAGATGATGGCAGTTTTGCCGAACCCAATGTTTCCCACAATCACTACTCCTTGGTTCACGCTGGCATTTGAACTTTGAAGTTGAGCATCTATTTCATGGAAAACCCAGTCCCGGCCAACAAACACTGACTCTGTAGTGATGCTGGGCACTTCAAAGAGCAGAGGCTTCAGGGAGATATCTGGAGGTCTATAAGGTGCAAAGCGAACTAGAAGGAACCATAAGAAAACAGAATGTAGGCCAAACCATCAGCATTGAGAGAAATAAAGAAAAAAAGCTTCAACTTAGAGTTACAGTTTGATGGTATTCTGGCTTATTCAGAAAATAATAAAACTCTAATTTTGGTTCAATGCAGATAAGCAATGACAGGTGATTTAGAGCCATTTGATATTCTAGTTGGCAGAACATAAACACTGTCAAAACAGTAATGATTTATGGGACAGTCAGAAAGTTAGGGTAATATTAAAAGCTATTAAACAATGGGGATGGCCTGGGCACTAGCAATCAGGATAGTTGCACAAGTAGTAAAGAAATAGGGTCCTGAAGGCCTCCTTCTATGCCTGGGGATAACCTTGTAATTGTCGGACTGTGAGGAGGTGCAGAGTTGGAGTTCCTGGGGGAAGAGACAAGACTGTGGCGGGTCCTCACCAATCAGTAAGGTTGTTAAATATTTCAACATTTAACAACCAATATGGCCATACTAGTACATACCAGTCCTGTGGAAAGCAAGGTAAAATTTCTTTAAAAATACCAATGAAAATAGAAATTCCTTTAAGTTCATGATTTTATATATATATATATATATATATATATATATATATATATATATATATATATATATTATACATATATTAAAGGAAGCAAAGCCTCTAAAAGCTGATGGTTTAAAAGGGTTTAAGCAGTCAAGGAAGTAGAAACCAAAGTTTCACCTAATGTCTTTGCACTTGTACTAATTGTATCCATGACAATTAAAAAGAAGATTTTTTCACTTATATACACCTGTCTTGGGAATGAATCCCTATTGCTTTTCTGTGCTTATGTAGTTGTGAGATATGCTAAGGGCCAAGTAGGAGTTCTACTTTCAACAGTTCTCTAAAAATGTGTAATCGATGTAACTTGGTTTTAGAGATCAAACTTCTAATTGTATTGATGATAAAAAGAAGTCCTGCCTCTTTTATCTGAGTTAAATGCCTTCCTCCCATAACTATTCTGAGAGTAGCTCTAAGATGTATCATTTTATCTGTTTGTATTGTTAACTTAGCACAGTGCTTTAAAACATATTAGGTGCTCAATAAATACATCCTGAAAGAATCAATAAAAAATAAGGTATGATACTCTAAACCTATTTTATATTTTGGAAAATAAGGGCCGGGGGGGATGAGAACAGGAGAAAAGGAAATCATAAAGAAGGAAACTAGATCTATTTATACTGTTTTATTATTCTAGAACATACCTAAACCATTTATATATTATAAAATGAGATCTAGATATGGCAGCTTACTTAAGAAAAAAAAAACACATATGTACACTCTCATTTATAACTGTCTAAAATCCATTAGAATGATAACTGAGCATTTTTAAAAGGATAACAATTACAAAAGTAGTGCAAATAATTAAAAATATAAAGCCAAACTCCAATAATAGAAACAAATAGTTTCCTATATCAGTTTAAAATGTCCCCAAATTTCACTTAAAAAAAAAGGGCTGTGGAGATACAGCTAGATGGTCACTTATAATTTCCTAATTCACATCTCTTTGCCAAAACAAACCCTTTTAAAATCCATGACTATAATCATAGCTCAGTGAAAATTAGACTATAACTTCCTAAAAATATTCTTTTAAATTCTAGTGTCTTATAGCTAATAGATTCTATTTTACTTTTCTTAAGCATTTTTTTATGAACTATAATTCACATACCATAAAATTCACCCTTTTAAAGTATACAATTTAGTGGTTTTTAGTATATTCCAGCTCCTAGCAATCATAGACTTTCTCTCTTTACAGACTTGCTTATTCTGGACATTACACACAAAAGTTATCAAATAATATGTGGCATTTTATGTCTGGCTTCCTTCACCTACCATAATGTTTTTGAGGTTCATTTTGTTATAGCATACATTGGTACTTCATTCATTTTTATTGCCAAATAATATTCTATTGCATGCCTATATCATATTATTTTTATCCATTTATCAGCTAAAGAACATCTGGGTTGTTTCCACTTTTTAACTATTATGAATCACGCTGCTCTGAATACTCATGTACAAGTTTTTATGTACATATGTTTTTAATTCTGTTGGGTATATATCAAGGAATGATATTGCTGGGTCATATGAAAACTCTTTTTTAACTTTTTGAGAAACTGCCAAATAGTTGTATTTTATTTTTTTTCTTTCTCTTCAATTATTTATTTATTATTTTTTAGACAGATCTTTGTTTTTGTAAAAAAAGTAAGTCTTTATTGTTCAGATTATTACAATTGTTTCTTTTTCCTCCCATAGCTCCCCTCCACCCAGTTCCCACCCCATCCTCTGCCCTAACACCCCTCCCCCCCAACTGTCCTCATCCATAGGTGTACGATTTTTGTCCACTCTCTTCCTGCACCCCCACACTCTTTTACCCTGGAGAATTGTCAGTCCACTTCCTTTCTATGCCCCTGATTCGATTATATTCACCAGTTTATTCTGTTCATCAGATTTTTTATTAACTTGATTTTTAGATTCATTTATTGATAAATATGTATTTGTTGTTCATAATTTTTATCTTTACCTTTTTCTTCTTCCTCTTCTTAAAGAATACCTTTCAGCATTTCCTATAATACTAGTTTGGCGGTAATGAACTCCTTTAGCTTTTTCTTATCTGTGAAGCTCTTTATCAGACCTTCTGAATGATAGCTTTGCTGGGTAGAGTAATCTTGGTTATAGGTTCATGCTATTCATCACTTTGAATATTTCTTGCCACTCCTGTCTGGCCTGCATAGTTTCTGTTGAGAAATCAGCTGACAATCATATAAGTGCTCCCTTGTAGGTAACTGTTTTTCTCTTGCTGCTTTTAATATTCTTTGTCTTTTACTCTTGGCATTTTAATTATGATGTGTCTTGGTGTGGTCCTTTTTGGATTCCTTTTGTTTGGGGTTGTGTGTGCTTCCTGGTCTTAGAAGTCTATTTCTTTCACTAGGTGGGGAAAGTTTTCTGTCATTATTTCTTCAAGTAGGTTTTCAGTATCTTGCTCTCTCTCTTCTTTTGGCACCCCCATAATTCTGATGTTGGTACACTTGAAATTTTCTCAAAGGCTCCTTACACTACCTTCAAATTTTTAGATTCTTTTCTCTTTTTGCTTTCCTGGTTGGGTGTTTTTTTGCTTCTTTGTATTTTAAATCTTTGACTGGATTCTTGTGATCCTCTAGTCTGATGTTGGATCTCTATATATTATTTTTTATTTCATTCAATGTATGCTTAATTTCCAGTTGGTCCTTTTTCATATCCTTGAAAGGTCTCCCTAAATTTATCAGCCTTTTCTAGAAATTCTTGAAAAACCTTATAACTGTTATTTTGAACTCTATATCCAGTAGATTGCTTTCCTCCATTTCTTTCATTTGTGACCTGTTTTTTTGTCCTTGCATTTTGGCTGCTTCCCTGAGTTGATAGAGTAGCTGGCTTTGTGTGCAAGGTGTCCTATAGGGCCATAGCTAAGCCTCCCCAGTTACCTGAGGTGGACACTTTTGGTGCACCCCTTTGTGGGCTGTGTGCACAGTCTTCTTGTAGTTAAGCCTTGATTGTTGTTAGTATGACTGGGAGAAATTGACCTCCAGGCCATTTGGCTGTGAGAATCAACTGTGTCTATGATGGGAGAACTTCTGTGCTGGAGACACCCTTATGAGGCAAGACTTGCTTCAGTGGGACTTTGGTGCTCATTTAGTCTTCCCCCTGAGTGTGTCACTTATGGATCTGAGGAGTTGTAATCTGGATGGTCCTACTCTGACCCCTGGGTACAAAGGCTCTTGGTTCCCCAAGGAGGTGCTAATTTAGCCTCTGCCTGAGGCCACCCAGCAGGAGCTACAGAGAGATCTGCAGATTCTTCTTCTTTGTTTGTGTTTTGGAGGTGCCCAGAGGAGGCCAAGCTGTGAAGTAATGCAAGCTGCTATAAGGCCTTGGGCCTTCTTTTGGATATTCTGGGTCTCACTGACTCAGCTGCAGTTTATTAGGTAAGTTTAGATTTCAAAGGACCAGGTTATTCATATGCAAAAGCCTCTGTGCACAGCTTAGATGGGGTGGAGTCTCAGGGCTGAGCAAACAGCAATGGCTTCCCATCAGCCCTGCCCTAAGAGGCTCCTGGGTCTCAGTGTCCTGTGGTAATCACTGCAAGCACCTCTGAGAGATAGCTGCCCTCGAGTTCCGCCCACTGCCAGACAGTCCAGTTTCTTCCTGTATGAGTCTGGGTCCCCAGATTCTTGCCCGGAATTGGAGTTCAGAGCAACAGTTCCTCTGAGCCTCAGTGTGCTTTTCTCTTCCCTTCTAATTGTAAAATTTCTACTTAGCCAGCCTTCCTGTGGTTCTGGATGATGTCCCTTTTGTCTTTTAGTTGTAGTTTTGAAGTTGTTGTGCAAGGCAGCAATTCAGGTGTTTACTTATGCCATTATCTTGGTTTCTCCCCCTGTATTTTATTTTTTGCTATTTTTCACAGGATACATAGTCACTATAGAAAATTTAGTAATAGTAAACAAATAATGCCCTAGCTCAGTGGTTGCCAACTGGTGGTCCGTGAGGTCTGAAAGGTTGGTGATCACTGCCCTAGCTAGTTTGGCTCAATGAATAGAGTGTCAGCATGCAGACTGAAGGGTTCAGGGTTTGATTCTACTGCCCAGGTTGTTGGCTCAGTTCCCAGTAGGGGGTATGGAGGAGGCAGCCAATAAATAATTCTCTCTTATCATTGATGTTTCTATCTCTCTCTATCTCCCGTCCTCTCTGAAATAAATAAAAAGCAAAAACACAAAAACCACCAACAAAAAAATAATTGTGTTTTCTCTAGCCAGAAATACTATTCACATACTATATATTCTAAGTTTTATCTGTACCATATACACTTATTTTAGAAACAAAAAAATGGGATCATATGATAGACACTGTTTCATAATTTGCCTTTATCACTTGGCAATTCCAGAGTTCTGAAAAAGTTGATTCTGTCAGACGTGCCAGCTTCATGGTTGTT